CTATGCACGGTATATGTTGCATGATGTAGTATTAACGTAGTGCGTAGGCAATGTTAGTGAGGCTATGCAGAACCTGATGATGGGTCATGCTAGTATATCAACATTCTTAAAGCATTACCTCTCACGTCGTATCACAGTTGATACGCAGGCCGTCGTGCGAGGCATCTAGCCCCAGACAGCCTTCATGCGGGCAGCTTGTACTATGAGCCGTTCGATCGATCTTCGTCGGCCACGACGACTCACGCAGGAACAGTCTGCATCCGTAGATGAAGATCCATCCGTTCGCTTCCTACTTGACCGACGAGACCGACTGAAGTGTAAAGTACCGAATGCAACCAAACACCCCGAGTACAAAACGCTTGTCTCGAAGATCAGCCAAGAGAGACAGCGTCGACGGCACGCCCTTCTTAAAGCCGTCAAGGAATGCTGGGAGTTTAAACAGCCTGTGCGTGATGTCGAGAGGCAGCTTGCTGGTTTAGACACTATCGATGATTCGGAGCCGATCCATAACATTATGCTCCCAGCTCAAGAAGAGCTAGCCAACTCAATCCTGTCGAAACCAGGGACCACTATAGAAGAGGAGACGGACAGGCGTAATGGGGCCATTCGTGCAGTTACGTTGTACTGTGGCATCGAAGAGGGGGGGATGTACCCGGTTCAAAAAGCGGGTCGAAGCAGGAACATTGCCTTACCCACCAAGAGCCAGCTAAGGTACGACGAAGAAGCATTAGAAGCAGCCAAGGTCTTGGTGTACAAGGACGAAAGACCAAAGATATGTTTCCTTTGCCTTGGCAACGAAAGACTGCCACTGGCACAGCGCATACATTCCTTCAGCACCCCAGGTGATCTCACCAAGCATTTTAGACGGAAGCACTTAAAAAACATTAAGAGTAGCTAGGGTTTTAGCTGCAATCTTTGTAAAGTGTTCCTGGCGGACAAGAAGCACTTACAACGACATGCTGAAAGAATTCACAGAACTACATCTCCTAGGAGTTCCTATAATCGCTGCTAGCATGTAGGATATAATTTAATACCCTTCCATGTGTGGCGGAAAACTCTGCGTAGCGGCATACCGGTGGTGCTTCTCACCACAACAAGGTCAACCACAGCACAGAGGCGCAGAGAATCTCAGGATAGAGTCCTCAATGTCGAAGCTTTCTTTGCACTTCATCTTGCCGCCCGTAAATTCCTACTTGGCTGGCAATACCACAATTCGCTGCCAGCATATACTGCGACCTCGGATGTGCTAAAGGTTCAACGCACGTATCTAAGAATCAGCTAGGCTACAGAAAGATATACGAAGAGTGTGTCCTGAGCAAAATACTACAGCACTATTTGTTATGGAAATGTTACGCAAGTCTATTGCTCTGCAGAGCAGAATTGATAATCAAGGCGCGCTGCAGTCAGGCTTGCAAACAGATAAATCAAATCAAATCTGACCTTCAATTTGATTTGATTTAGATAGACCCATGGTCGATTTGATTTGATTTGATTTGATCTGGATTGATTTGGATCTATTTGGATCTATTTGGATATTTGGATAGCCCCACTTCTCTCCCACGAGGAGATGCATTAAGCTGCTCCTATAATATCTGCTTGCAGTCGGCCTCTCTGGGCTGTAACCATGTGTCCTGCAAGGCTGAATATTCGCTCCGGCTCAGACGACATCGCAGGAATTAAAAAGAGATCGATTGCTATCCGTGACAGACGTGGATACTAGCGTCTTCGGAGAAGCTAATACTGAATCGGATCATCTACTAAGCAGTCGCCTGGATCGGCAGTGGCAATCCACGCTGTGTACTCATCGTGCGTAGCTGAAGGTAAAGGTGCAGGTTGCGTGGTGGGCTTTCTAATAGACGCTATAAAGTCATCTAGGTTAGTAGTCTTCCTTGTAACAGTAGGCTGCTCAGGTATCGTATCCCGCTCGACAGGGAGGATGCGATATTCCTCCCACAGTTGTTGCACGGCTGCCTTTCCTCTCACTAGCTAATCAGGATAATTAGCCTATTGTGACTTAACAGTTAACTACTAAAAGGCGGGGTAGAGGACAAGGGCTGCGAGATATGCAGGACTGTCCTCAGTAAGAGTGTAGTATTAGTCTAGCTTTATCTAACCAAGATTGCAACTAATCTATAAGTGTAGTTCTTTATCTCGTTTATATTGTATCTTTAACTCTTCTAGATACTTTAGAAGCCACTCTATTGTTAGCAGAACCTCCTAGACCGCACCAAATTTCCCTAAAAAATATAAACACAAAGTTAAGCGGCAGGAAGCTAGATTTGGCTCACCTTCTTTAGGTCGGCCTTTAAGGCGCTTAGTAGCTGTCTTTAGCGGCTTTAATAGAGCTAGGTACTCCAAAATCACTAACCAGTCCTTAGCAGACATCTTATCGTCAACAATCGCAGGCTTCTTTCGGCTCTTCTTAGGCATCAGCTTTGTCCCGTTCTGAGTCCTCCTAGCCACGTACTAATTCCACTCCGTAGCTTCTGCCTAGACCATAGAGTCGAGCGCATTCCGAAGCTAGTAACCCCGTTCTATTATCGCCTTAGAGGAGTTCCAGCGGGTAGCGTTATCCGTAATCACATTGTACGTTGTTTTGTCTTTAAGATTTAAGGCGGTGTTCTTAATAAGCTGGAGCTTATAGAGCTTCTCTATGCGCTGTCCCAACCTTTGCACCTAGTGGACAATATTGTGCAGCTTGCCAATTAGGCCCTTCGACCTCTAGAGCTTCATCTCGTCTTAGACCTCTTTGTTAGCTTAGCAGTCCTCCTTAAAGGCATCAGCGTCCGTGCCGAAGAGAATAGACCAGGCGACGAGGTTAATAATATGTCCACAGCAACGAAGCCGCCTGTGCTGCTTGTCGAAGCCGAACTCAGCGCCTAGGTCTTCAAGGCAGGTGTTATTATTCTCCGCATTATCTGTGACGAAGTAGCTAATACGATCCTCTAGCCTATATTCGTAAATTATTTCACTAACGCAGTCTGTAAGGTTCTCGCTACTGTAACGACCCTCAATTTGTAGCAGGCCTAGAAGGAATGTACAGAACTTCCCTTCGTCGTTAAGAAAGTGCATAGTAAGACTAAGAAGGGACGTAAACTTGCGGGAGGTCCAGGCGTTAAAGGAAATATTAATCCGGCCTAATAAGCAGCTAAGAAGCTCTGTTATAACCCCCTTATAGCGATTAAAGGACCGTACAATCTATTCCTGCATAGTGCTGTGAGTTAAGAGACTCCCTAACTCGATAATCGCACCGTTTACGTATCCTATAAGGTCTCAGAAATAGGGACTTTTAAGCTTGTTAAACGGCACATTGTCGCAGGCCACCTATTAAATAAGCAAAGCTTGAAAATAAATAGGATCGAATGAAGCTATAAAAGCATTCATTAAAGCCTGGTCCTTCGGCTGATAAGAGTCCAGGTCTGCCATGTCAAAAAGCGTGCGTTGTTTCTTCCTCTTTAGCGGCAGTTGCCTATCTTTATTAATTCAGTAGACACTTTCTATATAGCTATTTACTTAACTTGTAGATGCAGAATCGTATATGTGCGTAGTTGTAGCCCTCTTTCGATAACACTCCTTACAGAGCTAGGAACGTCGACCTGACCCGGCTTTCTCGATGTCGTATCCATGCTCCCACACCCATCCCGTCCGCACCCTCCTTCTATGCTTACGCATGCAATAGCCTAGAAGGCGGCTCCAATCGATGCCTTCGTAACTAGTGTAACCGACCGCAGGGGGTGTGTCTCCCCTCCCCTCTCTACTAGGCTCAGATAGGTTAAAGTTAATAGGGCTGTTAAGGTTGCTGTAAGCGGTAGAAGGCGCAGTAGAAAGGCCTGCTAATGTGCTGTTGGCGTTAGGAGACTGCGCTATGTCAAATGCTAGCGAGGACTGTAGACTTCTAGACTAGTTACTACGCTCGCTGCTCAGAGCGACGGTGGAGTAGAAGGATAGATTCGCCGAGCTACTCTTCGCGCATGGCCGACACAGGCTCAACATATGTTCCATAGTTAGTAACCGTGCTTGTAAAAAGCAAGCCTACTATGCCCCTAATAAAAAGCAAACCCGCCGTACGGTACGCAAACTGGCTGGCTCAACTAAGCAGACGGCGGACAGTGATTGGACGAGTCCTTATCTGCGGGGCTTATCCAAATAATCAAATATCCAAATAAATCTGGGCGTTGCAATTTGATTCGATTTAGATGAGGCTTACCCCGATTTGGTTTGATTTGATTTGGATAGATTTGATTTGATTTGGATAGATTTGATTTGATTTGGTTAGATTTGAATTCGATTTATCTGTTTACAACCCTGCTGTAATGATGGTGCATGAATCCGTATCAGCGAGTAGTAGAAGCCAACGGCTTACAAAGGCTCTTAAGACTGCAACAGAGCGGTGTAGTCGCAAAAGGAAGTACATTCAAACAGATAGAGCAGGCGAGGTGGTAGACTTGATAGCTAAGAAGAAGGCTTGTAGTGAGAAGGTGCGCTCACCGAGACACTGCAGAAACCATAGGAATGCATAATAGTGGCGCTTCTGGAATTATAATACGGGCTTTAGTACATCTTGTGCAGCGTTTTGGTGTTGGGTGGAGTAGTCGTGATTTGGTTAGGTGCCCGCTTGGAGGTAAACCGCTATTGGGTAAAAATCAAGCAGAAAGGCTTTCGAACTCCGAAACGTTTGAGCAAGTCAGCAACTGAGGGAGTAGTCGGTTGATTGACAGGGTCTATCATAGTGAGTGAATATACATATCCTCCCGTTACATAAGTAGTGGTGGAACCCTAAGCCCCTAAGGATCCTCGATGGCTTATAAGCACAGCGTTAGGTACTTGTAATGAGAGTAACGTAAGAATAGAGCAGATGATCAAAACGTTCCATGTGCAACAAATGAGTGGTGTGATGCAAATCGTAAGTAGACTCTTGACCCTCAGTTTCATCCAAGCAATAGTTTCCAGTTAGCCAACTCAACATACTTCCTACTTTCGCTCTGAGATCGAAGTAGGGTTCAGACGCACTTGCCACTCTTGCACTTCTCGCCGCTTGGACACTTCTTGCCGCAGTCGCCGCAGTTGTTGTCGTCGTTGTCGGTATTGCAGCACTTGTCGCCGCACATCTTCTGGCCAGAGGGACAAACTGGGGCGCACTTGCCACTCTTACACTTCTCGCCGCTTGGACACTTCTTGCCGCAGTCGCCGCAGTTGTTGTCGTCGTTGTCGGTATTGCAGCACTTGTCGCCGCACATCTTCTGGCCAGAGGGACAAACTGGGGCGCACTTGCCACTCTTGCACTTCTCACCGCTTGGACACTTCTTGCCGCAGTCGCCGCAGTTGTTGTCGTCGTTGTCGGTATCGTAGCACTTTTCGTTACAGCATTTCATGCTTACAACTGTCTTCAACGGACCGCACTTATAGCAGGGGCCACCGCCTTGGGCGGCGAGGGATGTGCAGTCCTTGCCAGGATTGGCATAGTTGAGAGAACACCATTGTGCACACACACTGTTACCGGTAGAGCCAGGCTCCGCCCATATAGTTGCAGCTACGAACATAAGTCAGTGCTTGTAAGAGAATATCTCTACGACATGTGTGGGGTGTTACCAGAGACGAGCAAGGAAAGCAACACAATTCGGACCATTGTAAGCGGTTGGTTGTGCAAAGTTTGTGTTAGTGCGGTAGTTGTAACTCGCTATTGTGATATGGCAGCGGAAGTATGGCTTCTTATATATCTATTGAGGACCAACTACTTTAGCCTAGATGTTGAAGGAGGAGATTTACTTCTACGCCATACTAAGTCATATCTGTTAAAGCCTCAAAGCCACTATGATCTGCAGGGAATATCGATTCTCGCGTAATGATTATCATACGGCAACTGGTCCCACCTTTATATGTCATATTCGCAGCCGGCATGCGAATACTTTCCAGGCTCTCCCTAGAATGCGGCATAGGCAGATACTGGCTCCGATTCGTGGTTGTAGGCTCCCCTGCAGATTTGCCAAGAAGCAAGCTTACTCGAGTAATTTGAGTCGCCATAAGCATATGTAAAGCGCACAGCTGGCACTCCAGAGCTAGTTTCTCCCTTTCTCTCTACACGACCATTACATCACAGTCTGCAATATTTCGGCATGGCTATTGTTCTATGTCCACCGGTGTGGACAGGAAATACAACATGTTGAAGTGACTACGCTATGCGATCCAGTTTGTTTGTACTATAAGCTATGATGCATTAGCTCACTCGTAGATCCTAGTTAACTGTCCGCTCTAGTTGTGGGGATGCCAAACATCCGTATAATACAGGCCGTTCGAGCGGGTGATCAGGGTGGCACCTGGACCGAAAGTGCATGAAGACCTACTAGTTGAACGTGTCAATATGAGAAAAAAGCCACCACCATCAGCTGCAACACAATGACCTACAGTCGCCCCCACAATCGTCAACGGCGTGGTTCTAGGACAGCCTTCTCGCTAAAGGAGTCTTGACACGGTTAGTAAAAGAATTTCCCACTGACACATGCAGTGTCCGATCAGCGAGCTGATTTGAGTTTCCTTAACAGTAACCTGCAGCAGTTTGAACTACTCAAATTTTTGAACCATCTTCCCAGTTTTGAAGTGTATTCTGCATTAAGCGATGGCGTCTTACGCGTATCCGTATGACAAGTCTCAGCGCTCTATACTCTCAGGCACCTTTCACTAGCTCATTTACATTTTCCTGTCTTGGTAGTCTCGTTCTCCGCTCAGGTATTTGCACCTATATCTTCCGGGGCTAATATCACGGTTCTAGAAACAGCAGGTATTAGGCAATTGAAATCAGGTTCACTAAAGTCAAATTGAACTAAGATGCGTGTTTCAACAGTGGGAGGACAGGAAGTGTTGACTATAAAGCTGTTCTGTTACTGTATTCGTTTGAAGAACTACCATATCGGTCCGTTTATACACAACCTCACTGTACTAACCTCACTCTACTGCGACAGATAACGCCTGATTAACTATACAATCTTGACCACAATTGCCTAGTATCAGAATTGAGATGAAAGGATCTGGAAAGCTACGAAGGGAGCTTTTGTTAAAGCGCCTGTTTGCCAAGGGTCTACATTCCTTGCTCTACGGGTCTAGTCCTTCACAGTAGTAGGGTCTAGAACTTGTATCGATTAAACTTGCTTTAAGAAACATTGTTATCAGGACCAGAGACTCAAAGACCACAATCTGTCTCTGATGCTCCATGGAGAAGAGTGTGAAGCTGAGAAGTAGACTAGAGCGAGCAGAGTATACAGAGTGCAAAAAGACAGAAATTTCTAGCTCTACGCACGTGCACGGGATAATTGGACAACATGTGGGTATAAGTGCGCAAAAACTCTGTGGTAGTATGAAATATTTTCTTGTTCAACCCAGTTGTGAACAAAGGTGGTTGAGTTGCGTCATGGAATTAGCGCAAATTACTCGCTTAGCTGCAACTTTAGTGACGTGGAACAGTTGTGGGGATAACACTTCCCCGCCTTGTGGCGTTCTACGCTTGTTTGCAGTTTGGCCAAGATCGTTCAACCTATCACCGGATCCAGTTTATTCTTCGGTACTATTGCGTCTAGAGCTTTAGGCAATGAGGATGCTCTGACGTCAAAGCTTTTACTGAATGCTCGCCGAACACCCAATACGGAGCACAGAGTAGCTTTCGCTGAGATAAGCTCAGCTGTGTGGCCAGCGATCTTTACGCGAAGCAGCTGCTCAGGGGCATCAGATTGGAGCGGCTTCGCCACGACTTCGACGTTGCGAAGATTGGGGTCTTGCCGCTTAATTATTGCAGATCATACAATCGACTCGAAAGGCACTTCAGAGCCGCTGGCATCGCGATTGGATATGTGCTAGGGTTGTGTGAATCTACGCTGGTGGATGGGTCGGGTCGGGTTGGGGTTGGGGTTGCCTAAATAGGTAATGACTAGCTCAAACCCAGCCTAGTCATTATCTATTTAGGCAACCCCAACCCCAACCCGACCCGACCCATCCACCAGCGTATGTGAATCTGGTACTGAATAAGCAGTAGTGACTAGCTTACTAGCAAGCAAAACGTCGACCCCACATTCACCAGTCGGAATGCACAGGTTTATTCGCTCGTCAGAGCTGGTCGGTCTAGCTATGTGTATCTACATGGGGAACGAGAAGCCGGACTACGACGTACTTCTGGCAGAGCGTGACCAGGTCAAACAGCTGCGAGACCATCGTTGCGGAGGCGAGCCATGAATGCTTGTGATTAAGCACGTTCAGAAAGGTTCGCATCAACTGGGGATCGCCCTCCAGCAAGCGCTACACGATCGCAGGTCATTGTTGTGTAACGAACGTCCGGAACTACGGCACCTGCTCGATCACACACTTGGACACATCAAAGAAAGCTCTTTCTTTGCCATCCAGATTTGTGAGGTGTTCCTGGTCATCTCATCCATGGTATTCTCAGCCTTCGGTTTCGTGCTGGCGTCATGGTGGCGCTTGCATTGGCTCATGATGTCGGAGAGCCAGTAAAGACGGGACGCGCCGAGGAGTGAAGGTGAGGCTGACAACGGGACGAGAAGGCCTATGGGGAGATACTGCCTTCCTGTATTGTAAGGGGGTTATGCCTTTGCGAGTATTACATGCCAAGTTGACTTCCATTAGGACGACATGCTCGCCTTCTGTGATGAAGGTCTGTTATCACTTGTGAAGACGTCGGCTCAGGGCGCAGCATTGTTGTATCACGATGGCTAGGATTGTCGCCTACAATCCCACATTAGATACCACGCCGAATCAGTGCAGCGTGTGAACAAGACTTACGCGGAAGGGACGCGTGATGGCCTGTAGAGACCGTTGCAGCCTCTGGCAGATGTATCTGCACGCTTTTGTAACGGTAATTCCAAAAATTGAGTTCTCGCTGTTTGTCGTGTTTTCGGCCGGGTCCGCAACATCGTCGATCAAAGTACTGTATAACGTCCCCTGCCCGTAAGCGAGAAATGCCCCTCAGCGAGATGAACCGACCCTCCAGACGACTCAATCTTTCCCACCCACATCTATAGACCCGTATTCAATGCTATCCTGTCCTTTAACCACATCTCTTTCGCCTTCCGTACTGCAGCAGGAAAAATACAGTCGTTGTGGCCATGCCGGCCATGAAGTCACGCGCAGCACCAAAAACTACTTTGCCTTCTTGCTCCGCTTAGTTACTACTGTTAGCACTCCTTCTGTTTCTAAACTGCTAGAACGACAGGCCTAGCCTAGACGCGCATTCCCCTAGGCTACCAAGACGATTACGCGTCGAAAATATGTACTCCGAGGCTATCTCTGTGTTAGAGACACCTGCCCTTGGCACTGTGCGTTTTAGCAGCCGACTCTTGTGTGAGGCTGGTGTGATTTGTCCCCCGCCGAAGTACCGGAAATGGCAACTTTTGCGCTCCGCATTGCAACTCCACTGCATCTCTAAGTGTAATTTTTATCTTTGAAGCTTGGGATACGTTTTGCATACACTAAAGTACCCCTCACCTGCAATTTTGTAACTTCTGACAGCGATGGGAACGAGCTAAATGGAGTTGAAGTTGGCGATTTCTTCGAAAATGTCACCAACTTTAACACGCAATTGAACCACAACACAGACTGACCTTTAACTTTAGATTGTTAGGGAAGCTTTGCGAGGCTCTAGAGTAATTTATGACGTTTAAAAACCTACTTGCAATTTTGCTGGTGTTAAGCTGTGTGGATGCAAAACCATTCGGTACTTCGGTGGGGGACAAATCTCAAAAACGGGGGGACAAATCACGCCGGCCTAGTGGGTTTCAGCCCAAAACGGACAGATTGAGGATTCTCCGGTTTTCATTCCCTGCCATCAAAAATGTCGTCTTTCTATTACATTTTGATACAGGAACTGTGCATTGCTATCGAAACTTATAGTTGAGACTCCAACATTAACAAATTTCTGCTGTTGCGTGTTGCGTTACGATGCTGCAAACATGGAGATCTGGTGGGACGCGCGACCGCGTTCAGCGCAACCCCGCCCAACAACAACTGCAGAAACCGCCGCCCGCTGCGCGCCCAACCCGTCCAACCCGCCAGCACGCTCGGGTGAAGCAACATCAGCGGTTGTCTACTTTCTCCATCAACGTTATTACTATGATGTGCAGATTGAGAAGGCATAAGCATACGCGATATGGAAAGACTCGCTCTCGCCTCGAAACGCAGTGCGCTCGCCCGTTAGCACAGGCACTGCAGTCATGTGGCGTAGCATCCCGATGATGACGATGACGATGACGCTGACATGGTTCCTCGGCATACCAGCCGAGCACATGCAGTGCGTCCACACGTCCACAGCGAGAGGCGACTCTTCGACTTAGTTTCCTCCTAGTGCCTCCGCGTCAAAGTAGAGTGCTGGCATTCATGTTTTCCGGCAAGCTTCTGGTACGAAAGTGCTCATCAGAGTCCAATGCGTCTATCTCTGTAAGGTCGTCTTCCATTGTCATCGTGGTGTTGAGTTACAAGTGGGTCAAATGTGTAATGTGGAAGTGGTGGGGTGTGCATAACGCGACCATGCGCATTACGCGCACGGACAAAATAAGCATAATATGGAAACATTCGATCCCACTTCGAAACGCAGTGCTGCAGTCATGCAGTGGGGCTGACATGGTCCCACCT